ATGAAAAATCTTCATGAAATATGCTAGTGCGAGTTTTAAAAAGGATAGTAAAGCTAGTTTTCTCTTGCATAATAGTCGTACCATTTAGGGATCATGTACGGGCTGTCCTAGTTCCTCGGTCACGTTGAAGTCAGGAATTCAAAATATGTTACAGTTTTACGTACCAGAGGTTGGTTTTACAATCACTTCAAACAATTTTCCTCGAGAAGTTTCCATTTTTGACCGACCCTCGCTTAGTTATTTGTGAAGTTAGATGACGTCTCGTCTTATGTTTAGGTGAAAGAAGTGATAGAGGTGACCGATGAGGCTGACGACTTGGTTCAAAAAGAACTAGAGAAGTTCGAGAAGTCTCACGGAATTACCGATTGATATTGATGCAACACGTGTATATATTAGTATCCAGTTCTTAGATTTCAGGCAGGTATTTTGAGATTCAGTAAGTAGGTGTAGGTTTTTGAGTTGTAATTGTGATATGGTCTGGCTTTGAAGTTTCATTTTCGTTGAGAACCTATACTTATAAACTTATCTCGCTTGCGCCTTCGCAATTTGTTTAGTAGTTTTGACTAGTCTAACCTAACACAGACATGTTTTCTTCATTAATAATAGCCGGGCCATCGTGACAATGTGCCATTTTATGGGTGCGCTCATGTTAAGCTCAAACAGCTCTTTACCATCTGGTGAGGGTCATTAAGGGCATTCTTCCCTTCCACAAAGAATGATTGGTATAGCGAAATCGCTGTTGTAGGCTTACCAGGTTAATTGTGATGGCATTCTTTTCAAATGTCTTTTCATCTTTGCAGTTCTTGCTTGTATCCTAATATGAGGGTTCCAAGTGCCTGTGTTAGAGTCGCGGGTCGGGATTATGTGTCAGGAAACAGCCCCATCCCTTCAGTGAAAAAGGGGGTTCCCCAAGCGCTGGAGCATCACTGTCGCAACTAAAAGTGCGAAGCAACGGCGCCGCTGTGCTGCCATCCTTATCAAACGCGGCGAAGTGACGTCTGCGCCCTCTCGCGTACGACGTGCTCTCTCGCTTTTCCTCTCCTCGCAGCGCTGTGTCTCTCCGTCATACCACGGCCGATCTCACAAGGGAAATTTTAGTGTTTTGCGGCACTTTTTGCTTTTTCTATCCACCAACGTTCTTGAATGCACTCATTGTCGAAACTTCTTTAAGGAACAACATACATTTGGATCCCGGTCCGTGCCTTTAGGTGGAATGCTCTACTCACGCTTTCGTGTACAAGCTCGCCGACCAAAGAAACGCGGCCGCGGCACAACTCTGTCAGTCAGTCGAACCACATCAGAGCAATGCGAATGTGCAGGACTGAACAGCAAAGAAAGGGTTTTGAACAGTATAAAGAAGTGAGGCGATTACAATTGATCAGTCTAGAATATGCCGCGCATCCTACCTCCACTGGGAGTCGTGGTGACGTTTGTATGGGGCTTTGATATACATATATTGACCTGTGGCACCGTCCGATGTACGAGTCATGTTTTAGTTTTCTCAGAAGAATCCTGTTTTCTTAGAAGAATCTTATGCCAGTTGACCGTCCCTGTCGGTGGAAGGTGGGATGGCCTGAACGAGAGTTATTCTAGGGTTTTTTTTTTTTTTGGGTCCCACTGAAAGTTGTACGTTGCGAAAGTTTTATCCACTTGCCACACCACCTCCGTGCTTAGGGATAGCGGCCTTTCTAAGTGGCTGGGTTTTTGACCAAAAATGCTCTAGTGATGAGCTGAGGTTTGTTGTAATCACACCTCACGACTATTAGATGATTTGAACTGCGCGCTGACAACTTACTCTGATTCGTAGCCTTTTTCTACCATAGATTTTTATTGCTTTTTTTTCAGTTTTTTTTTTCAAAATTGTTATGTAGTCACATAGTTTAAGTTTCCTTTGTTGTTTAATAGTACCGTATTTTGCAGTGTGTAAGCATTCATCCAAGTTTAATTGGAACTAACTATAAGTAATAAAGAGTTTGTTTCAATGTTTTGTTTTCATGGTTGTCAATTAGGTTAGGCGTTTTCGTGGACCTGAAGGCAATGGGCACGATAAGCGTTCATCACTGGTGCTTTTAGGCACTTTCCTATATTATTGGCGCTGGAAGGAAGTATGGTTAGTGCGCACCATCATCGCGTCCACTATCAATAAAGACGTCACAATTATTTAGCTCTGAAGATTCTGCTGCAAAATGGAAGACAGTTGGTCGTAAGGGGCAAAAAAATGAAATGAGCCACAAAAACATTGGAGGTAAGGATCGCATTCCCCAGAAGTATCAGGATGGGGGACTCAGGAGAGCAGACCAAGAGTGGCATCACAGAACAGGGTCAATTGCAGCGCTCTCATGTTGAAGGTCGGTAGTAATATAGTTCACGTGAAGGGGGGGGGGAGGCAGGTCGTATAAGCCAGGGTCATACATGCAATATCTGAAGTTTCAAAGAATTAGAACAACGGTAGCTTGCTTAGAAGTGTATGGGAACGCGCCGGACGACCGTGGATGTCGAGTGCACGGCGGCAACGCAGCTCGTCCAAATCAACAAGTAAACTAGTGGGCGGATCGCTTTTGGGGGCGGAGCGCTTTCGAAGTCCTGCTCAGCAACCAGCGCACCTTTCGTTGTGAAAGCGCCACATCTCGCTTCCCTGGCAACCAAGTAACTGATCAGTAGTGTGTTACACATGCTTCCTCAGATGCGCTCCCTTTTTATCGTAATCGCTTCCCCGGATGTTGAGCAGGAAAGAATGTTGACATGTTCACGTAAATAAACAAATAGTCATAGCAAAGAACACTAGAGCGGAAAGGGAAAGGTTTGGGAACTCTACGTGTAGCGATCTTCCACCCAGCAGTCACACTACCAAACGGATGGGAGCTTGACTTATGGTTAGATTCAACATATTCCACCAGAAATACCAAGCGTGCTGTTCCATGGATCCCATGATCGAGTCGACCCCCCCCCTGCGCATGCACCCTACATATTATCACAATTTTAAGGAGTGTATTCTCTTTTCTGCTCTGTATGTACTTCCGGGTACTTTGTTTATCTGTTTGTTTGGCAGAATAAAGTTATAACTTCTGAGTTCCAACATATGAGTAGGTTCCCTACACCTTTTTAAGTTAGAGTTGACAAACTCTTTTTTAGGAATTCGTGATCTACTCGACGCTGCAAAAAAGTCAAGACTAAGGCAAAAAAGTTAATTTTATGAGCTTTGCTCAAAACTCTTTTCACTTCACATGCTCTTTTCTCAGTTTTTCAACTAATAGTTCATGCAATTAATTTTGCCCATGTCAATCTGCATGATAAAATGGTTTGTCAATGCGGAGCTTTTTCGCTTCTGCCTTGTTTCATCCCTCATATTCACCGGCGAACCTCGGAAATGGACGTTCTAAGAAATATTCATTTTAGGAATGTATAAAATGAGTAGTATTTCTTCTGACCAGAAGGTCTTTCAGGGACTGCCCAGTTCCCTCAAGACCGTTTTTTTTGCATGATATAGGGGTGTTTGCATGGAACACAGAACTGTGGTTCATTTTTCCTGAGCGACCCTCTGAATACCAAAAAAGGAGCGAAGAAAAATTTCTTAAGGAACTGCCGTTCTTAACTTTTTTCACCAGTTTTAACCAACGTCTACGTATAAAGGTAAAGGCTAATGGTCGTAATTATAGATATGACTTAAAGGCAAAGGTCGGGCTCAGGCACGCTAGAGAAGTAATTCCCGTGCCTGGAGGTTGTATGTGGGTAGCTGCACACATTGCAGCAACTTCCCACCTTGAAAAACCCCGTTAAGGCCCCGGGGCGTTCGGTTTCAATCCAGGGCCGCCTGGTCAATCCAGGACCGCCCACCTCCGGAAGTGGTGCGTGGC